GTCTCTGATCTTCCTAAACCGTTTCACGAAAAGTTTCCTAGCTAAACATCTCATAATAACGATGCAATTGGCGGGAAGAGGAGCCTATAGACATAAGCCTTATAGTCGCAATTCGCAATACCATAGAAATACTTGTAAAATATAATTCTGGGTATTGACCAGTGAATCATTTTCTTTAAATGGGTACCCCCGGATATTTTCATTTGATAGATAATTGTAAACAAAATAAACCACTATAATTTTCTTAGTAAAAATGCGATGCTAAGTTGTGTCCAATGTTTTAGGCTTCAACAAAATAGTAAAATGACAACATTTAGTTTGAGTTTAGTTTTCAGTTTCACAAATGATAAGCAATAAACAATACGAATGAACAAATTATTCTTTCAATAGATGTAAAAATACATACAATAATGTCAGGCCATGAAAGTAATAATTCAGTCGAAACAACATACGGAGATATAAATACAATTGCATGGTTTTTAAACTGAAATTAGACAAATAAATTTGTAGTGAATTATTGGGGAATCTGATAAAAATGAAGCTAAGCTTGTACATTGTGGTTTCCCTTGTTTTTCTATAAATAAAAACATGGGAAAAAAGATAGAGGCGATATTAAGATAAAGGACTAATAACAAAAAATAGCAATATATACCAGGGGGTCATGGAATGAATTACGTAAATGTCTAAAATTAAAAATAAAAATTTTTTTTTTAAAGGCATACAGCGAGCCAGTATTTTTGACATCTGACGGGAGTTCATTCCACAATAAACACTAAATTATTTCAAAGGAAATCAGATTTTTTGAAAGCTAATTTGGTAAATAGGTCTAAGAATGTTGATAAATCCAGATTAAGTGAAGCAATGTTATGCTCATATACTGGTAAATTGTTACTGTTGTCCTATACTAGTGTACTTCGGAAAACTATGTGTCTCTGACAATATTGTGCATCTAACATAATTTATTTAAGAAACTTTTGCCAAATAATTACTAAATGCCCATTTTCAATTCATTCCGAGCGCTAATAATTTATTCTCTCTCTCTCTCTCTCTTTCTGTTTATACTGTTCATAATCATTTTCACTTATTAATTGATTCATCTGTCAGTATCATATACAATCACAACCACAATTGAATGAAATAAAACATCATAATATATCCAGAGAAAATTGAAAAATAAATTATTATGAATATAAATATATAAGTACAAATAATAAAATACATATGAACGATGCATATACAATTGATTCAACTTGTGTAAGCCAATAGCAATACCATGTCATGAAAACCTTTTTTTTTTAAATTCCCTTTTGACCAAATCCAGAAATTCTCACCCCCTTTGACAAAATGCCCCAAACCAGAATTTTTTATCTCCTTTAACCAAATGCCGAAATCCGGAAATTGTTATCCCTTTTGGCCAAATGCCCAAATCTGTTTTTTTTTTGGTATAGAACATTACTCAAAATCGGTTCGGCTAATTTCCTTTAATTTTGGCACAGTAGGTCATTTTCATAAAATGTTACAGCAACATTTTCAAGGTCGTCAGGTCTTCATGACGTCATCCAGGCGCAAATTGGTGAAAATGAACTCATGATCATATTTCATAACGGAAAGTCATTTCTCATTCATATTTATCAGGATAAAGTTCAATATCCGTCCGGTCAATCTGGGGTCAATTAACGCGCGCTTAGAAATGCACCAAATCGTCTCAAAGTGTCGCACACGCGCGCTTTCTCGTTCGTCATAGCCGTACGCAACATAGAATCTTCATTCGTTTTTCTTTCATATTTTCCATATTTTCCCAAACAGTTTGATACCATGTTCATCTCATTAGGCCGGGTCTAGGACACCTACCCCCTGGACAACCACCCCCGAATAATCACCCCTAGGATAACCATCCTCTAGGACAACTACCCCCTAAGACAACTACCACTAGGGCAACCACCCTCTAGGACGACTACCCCCGGACAACTACCCCCAGACAACTACCCTTACGACAACTACTCCCAAACAAATACCCCCGGACAACTACCCCCAGACAACTACCCCTACGACAACCCATCCTCTAGGACAACTACCCCCTGACAACTATGTCTTTTTTTTTCTTTTCTTTTTTCCTATTCAAAACTATAGGACTGGGTTGTCGTATCGTAACGCTTCTATAAAGAGTGACTCTATCTTTGAAAGCTAAATAACGCCGTCTCACTGCGTGTCGGCACTCAACAATACTCGTGACTGATAAATATAAATGAAGAAAAAAACTCAACAAACAAACATGCGGGCCATCTATATATTTATCATTATGAGCAAAATAGTTTAGTTAGCTGCACATAAAAGGGTTATGTAAAGTTTGAAAAGAAAAGGAGAAACAGCACGACAAATAAGCATTGTTTCCATCTTCTGAGTTCTTATCTGGAAAATACAAACACGATAATACTATATTTAGCTGCTTAGTGGTACCTATGGGTTTGTCAATATTGATATTGTATTCTGTTCGCGTCGTTATACTTCTAGACCTTTCTATTTTTAGTGCGGGTTTATTGAAAAGAAAAACGAAACTTAAAGATAAAACCACTCCATTTATCAGTTTGGGAGTAAGGGGATGGGACTGATGTGAAAAGGGGAAAACCAAAAAAAAAAAAAATTAGTTAAACAAATATGGACAATAAACTCGCTCATCCATTGATCAAACAATTCCTTCTTTTACATTTCTATACTTATAATCAACGCGATTTAATCGCAACTTTTAAGAATTTATACAAAAATCAAATCGTGTATAACAATGAGAGCGTCCGTGCTTTATGTCTTATAATTTAAGCATTGGCTGAAATTTATTCAAAACTGTCGATAAGGCACCAACAAAAAAGGCACTCTCTGGAAGAAAAAAAAGAGGGGCACGTACAAAGGGAAACATCAGAAAAACATATACCCCTACATCTTCATGATTGTGATTACGCTACCAGGGATGGAATCAATATTTGTTTCTTTCTTTACGTGGTACAAGATAAGCAACATACTTTGCAGTTGGGTGTGATGGTCTGAATATTAATTTTCGAGCGAGCGAAGCGAGCGAGCAAAAATGTTAAGATTTGTGAGGTCCCAGTGCGAAAATTACATCTTATAAAGAAGAAGAAAGAAAAAACCCTGATGAGTATAAAGAACAATCTAATGAATGAAAGACTGGAAAGTTGTTTTATTAGTAACATAATTATAACATCTATAAATGCGAGCGAGCGTAGCGAGTGAATTTTAGGGAAAATTGTAGAAAAAAGGGGCTCTAAGTCTCTTGAATTAAGGTTGCATATTATGGAGAAAAGAAAAGTAGGCACTTATCAAAAGGGAAAAGGAAGGTTATTAGAAAAGAAAAGGTGCTCGTGTCAAAGTAAAAAGGACAAGTATCAGAAGTGAAAATACCACTACTTGCACCTGAAAAGAGACACTCAACAGAGATGAAAAAAGGCACTTGTGAGAAAGGAAATGGGTAATCTGTTGAAGGAAAAGGGCACCTATCAGATTTTAATAGGGGCATATATCAGAGATAAAAAGGGACATTTTGAAAAGGGAGAGGGGCTCTTATAAAAAAGGAAAATGGGCACTTATCCGAAGGAAATATGGTACTTATTAGAAAGGAAAAGGGGCACGTGTCAAAACAAAGGTGGCACTTACTCAGATGTTAAAAGTGGCATTTAAGAGAAAGGGAAGGGGGTCACTTATTACGAAGGAAAAAAGTGCACTTATTAAAAAGGAAAAGTCAAAGTAAAAAAGTGCACAAATATCAGAGGTGAAAAGGGGAATTTCTCGCACCTGAAAGGAGGTACTCAATGAACAGAGAGGAAAAGGACAGTAAGAAAGATGGCACTTTGGGGTACCTGAAAAAGTGGGGGCACAGTGCCCCCCCCCCAGGAAGTGCCGCATCTGGCGTAATGTGTACAAGTGAGAAAGAAAAAAAGGGAAATCATGTCATTTCATCAACATTATATAAGTCACTGGTATCGCATTGGAAATAAACCACGTTTGAATTTGAACTCCCCGCTCTTGGAAAGCCACCCCCCCCTCCCGAAAGAAAAAGAATCCATAATCCTGATAATGCGTGCATTGGCATGTGGGGCTGCTCTAACCTATTCCGTCTTTAAAGGGGGGGGGGGAGAGTCGCCCTCTTTTTTCAATTGTTGGATACGACATTGGACAACATAGCTCAGAATAATTCCGTCTTTCTCGTCAAACAGACAGTCGAAAAATCACTACCGATAAGGGCACACCTTGATTTGCATTGACCTGCAAATAAACCATTTGAAGAAGCAACCCAGGATGTTGTCGATGAGGCAAGATCCATGTTAAAGAAAATCAAAATGAAGAGGGAGTACAAAATAATCATGTTTAAGTCGTACGTGTCTCAATATTTAACTAGAATAATGAGCTGATGTGTGCACAATATAATTATAACAAATCACAATTCACTCCATGTTATTGTTGTTGTTGTAATGGTGCCCCCCAATGAATAATAATTTGTTTAAAGGGAGTGTAGCATGGCAAATACTGTTTAACGCCATCTACGTCTTCTTTTGGAGAACTGCACGTAAACGAATGGACTTGATTAACGGTAGTCAGCGACTTAATCTCTACATGGTCAGCGCGCTAGCGTTCGCGAAACAGACCGAAGTTCTCCTCACGCTTCGGTTTCGCGTATGTTGCACGCACGTGATGCTGCGGTCGCGTCGTCTTATCTATGTAATAATGAGTTCTTAAATTAACATGACACACAAAAAACGGGGTGTGTAAAAATCGTGCGTTATCAATCTCAATTTAATGAGTTAATGCATTCAGTTAAGTGTGTCACTATAGTGTCAAAGTTTATTTACCTATTCGAGTAAGATTACCCAAATATTTATGTGTGTGTAATCCCTAGTTAATAAACAACCAAGATGGGTGTTTCGGGTCAAAGACTAAAGAAGATAGTTAACATGTATCATTCTCGAAAGAGCTCATATAAGAGCCACCTACATCTCATTACGGGCGCCTTCAGCAAGCAAATCAAATGTGCGGCCTGATCGATGTTGAAATGCTGGTACAGAGGGAAACCAGGGAGACCCTAAACATGAGTGTCCTTGGTTCGAAACTCAGTCCGATTACGATCGTCTTGATTTCAGTCCTTCTTTCAGGTATTGTTTTTTCTATTTCCCCCTGCATATTCTCTGCGAATTCATCAACTAACTGTATATGGTACTATGTAGGCTTACATTTATTTTGTATACATTATGTCGGTTATCCAAAGGCTGCCTCTGAAGCAAATACTTAACTTTTGTAACATGAGGATGATGAATTAGTTAACCAAACTTGCTGCTTTTCACTTTGCGTTATATTATTGTAAATGAACAAGAGATATATATAACATGCACATTAAACTGTACTTGTATTCCGTGTACTATATCCTCGAAGCCCACGCATTTATGATGTTAATACCCAAGTACTAAGGGAGTAATGTTAAAAGAATGATTGTGTAGGTTGGGTACATGTCAGTATGCGAAGACATTGCCTTAGTATATGCATGATATTTGCTTGAAACCAATGGTACATTCATGGAGCATGACGCTAGCAAAATATTTTTTCTTCTTCAAATAAACAAAGTATCGAATGCCATCTATCGTTTTGCGTCAAGTAATTACGTTAATGATCAGTTGCATATGAGTTTACAATTAATTACAGCACTTGTAAATTCGTGAGTGTGGGTTTTCTGATAAATTTCTATGATTCAACCTCTCATTTGCCAGTAGTTCTAACTGGCTCGTTTGGCTCGTTTGTCACATGTGCAGATTAACACGAACTTATTGCAGAATTGCTCTTTTGCAGCAGAAAGCATTTACTAAATTACCCATTTCCCGTATTAATTAGCTACATGACAACCATTTTAACACCGATTAGTTTAACATAAGGAAACTATTCACATTGTCTTGAATTCTTTGGTATAACTATCCAAAAGAAACATATACATGTGGCACAGGGAGATCAATTTTGCGAGGCCCATGAAGCGCTTTTATCAAGAAAATGTTAATGCCTATATGATTCATAAATCTTTGAGCCAGGACATAGAAGTGGCGGTATTGCGTGTATGTGAAGTTTAAAATAAAATAAGTTTTCAATTAATCTAGACAAAAAAAAGCAAACACGGAATACAAAGTCTTTTGGTATTATCTGCATAGGAAACATAATTACTGAAAAACGTGCACTCATAATTCGCATATCACCAAGGAATTGCCATATTTACTGACAGCATGGAAATATGCTCACCAATTGTAGAAAATAGATATAAATATAAATATTTTCTGTACTTAGAATGTTGAAGCTGTTACATACTAGTACACAATATTATCACAATGCCCATAGGCAGCAACAGTATTAGGCATGATGGGCAAGATATCGACAAGGGGTGCTACCGTTTTGCCCCATAACCTATTTTTCCCCGCCACCCCAAACAAAAATGGTGAACGGCAGAAACAAGTGAGGCGCAATCTAAATCATTCTTCCAAAAACAGTGAAATTATTTAATTAGTGTAGAGCTTGGTGGCTTGATTTCGTTATTGAAATATAAATATGAGGTAACTATTCCAAAGAGACAAACTCACTACCAGACTACCTGCTGACGGTTGCTGTAATTTAAATATATTGGGAGCGGGAGGGGAGGGGCAGTCCTCAGCGACCTCCTCGTACGTCAATAACTTCATTCTTGAGGGTATATCAGGCAATGTGGCAAGAAAAATCGGCTCTAACATAATAACCGGCAGAAGGCGGCAGCCAAATCTGGTACCAACTTAAAGCTTACACAACAGAAAAAATGTTGGTAATAAAATTAATGCGGAAATCCCTGGAAATTTATTTTATTTATTTATTTTCCACATATGGGAAGTATTACCCTTTTCAGCTAAAAGCTGGTCTTCAAAGGGGTCCAAATCTAAACATTTCCTCTGGATTTATAAAAAACGTGGATAATTAGTCCATTTTTCAGTGAATTACCCTATAATATATTATGAACATTGTGTTTCTATCCATTTATAAACCATTCATGCAGTGAAATGAACTATCAGGAATATGTGAGAGCAATTTCATATCAATTACTTAAAAACTTCATGTTAAATTGAAAGATTTATAAAATAAGTCACCTTTGCACTAAAACTGTGAATATGTAAGATTTTGCTGTTTGAAGGAGTACATTTTTACCCTTATTTGTGCATACCGGAATTAAATAATTTGCTGAGGTGTTCTTCAATGTATTATCTTTCAACTGGGCAAGAACAAAATATAAAGAGAAATCACCAAAAATTAGTTTTGGCGCACTTTGCGGTTCCTCCCTGGCCCAATGTACATCGGTCCGGGGAAAAATGACGTGAGAATGAGACCAGCATGTCTTATACTTGTAACTTTTAAAAGATGTGGTGTACATGAAGACAGGATTTGAATATTTCTTAACAAATTTTTCTACACGACTACTTAAATCTTTCTCTCTGTTTCTTTTAATCGCCACAGGCCAATTATTTGTTGGGGTTACAGGACAATGCGGTAAGTTTTATTTAATGTATCAATTCTAATGCGGGTATGTTTTAAATTATTGATTGACTGATTTTTATATTAATACCTTATATATTAATATTTTTTTGATGATGATGATTGTTATTACTATTATTATTATTATTATTGTTATTGTTATTGTTGTTGTTATTGTTATTGATATTCTTATTATTATTATAGGTTTTCCCAGCCAATTTCGCAACTTTGCCAATCCAATTCATTTTGCGTGCATTCATTTTTAGCTCAATTTAGCCCTGCCTATTTATTCCATATACTATCATTCGAATTCGCTTTTTAGTCAATCGAATTAGCATGTTTCTCATTCAAATTCATGTTTCACGCACGTTTTTTGTCATACGTTCACTGCATGACATGATAACGTGATCACGTAATACTGCCTTTCGTACATTCAAATAAGTCATTTATTTCTAAGGATTCCCTCTATTTAAATTTCAAAGTGTGTTTTGAAAATAACCGAATATATAATGACTAAAGTAGGAATTTGTTGAAATATGCTTCGACTTTAAACGTATATGATATGAAAATGATTATATGAATATGGATATTGGTTATGAGCGTATTATAATTTAAGACTATGTATTTGCGTGTGTGTGCGTGTGTGTGTCATCGCGGAGAGTCACACATAAGACTAAACTTTATTGGATAAGTTTCTTTCATAGCTTTTTGAATAATTTTATAAAGAAAAAAGTACCCTCTGATTTTATTGAGCGACATGAAAATGATTATAGTATATATATATAGGAAACTCATAATTTCTACATGAAGAAGAAAGTGCACGATGGTTTGATAATTTATCATCGTGCACCCATTAAATTAACATGGATACATTTCTACCCTCGAATGACGCCCCATGAGCACACCACCACCCCCCAAAAAAAAAAATACAAAAAAATACAAAAATAAAATAAATCATATATATATATATATATATATATATATATTTTTTTTTTTTTTTTTTTTTTTTTTTTTTTTTAATTTTAAATTTTTTTGTTTGGGGGGGAGTTCGAGGCATCATCATGATCTTCTAATGAAGCTATGAAAAGTGAACCCAGCAAAGCTGTGAGTCTACATAAAATATATTCCTGTTAATTTGAATGAATATGCAATGAAAAACTTGGCACACGCGCTAAATGGAATGAATTGAATGATAAAACTGCAAAATCCCATCCACAATAATATAAATTGAATGACTGAAGTGGTTTTTGAATAACACCCTCGGCTGACAATGGTATTGCGCTAAAGTGAATGAACGTGTTATCAATTGGACTGAGATAGATGCGAAATTGGCCGGGAAAACTATATTATTATTAATATGTTTGTTTTTATCCAATGTTATTATTATTATTATTATTATTATTGTTATTATTATTATTATTGCTATTATTATTGTTCTTGTCATTATTAGTATCATTACTATTGCTATTATTATTGTTCTTGTCATGATTATTATTATGCTATTATCAAATCATCAAAATCATTATCATTATCATAACAGCATTATTGTCATTATTATTGTTTTTAGACTCAACACTGAAACTCCTTTTCTGACTTTGAAACTTTCATTTATATTATTTGTGTACCCATTCATTGTTTTATTTCACCATTAATATAGGTTCCGTCTGCTCACCACCTTTGATCTTCGGTGATGGGACACCGAGTTTCTCTCCGGACGAGGAATGCTATGATGGAGGGTCAAATGTGAACGTCACCTGTAGTGGATATCTATTTGGAGTTACAGAAATTGGAGAGTGTGTTGAAGCTACTCCATCCGGATATTGGGTAACATATCCCTTACCAACATGCGAGGGTAAAGATACAAATACATTTACGGCATTATAATTCCTTTTTACCTCTAACGCTATCGCAAAGACTTTCGAAGAAAAAAAAATCTACGCAATTTCAGTCGCATTTTCCGTCACCTATTGAAAGCATTACAATGGCATTTTAGGTTAGTCAAACATGATTTCTAGATCTATTGGATACAGTCATGAAAATCGGGGTATCAAAATTGCCTTGGAATTGATTTCTTGAAAGTATTGCCATCATATAAAGGTCATGTTCTACGGATTATCGTCAACGTGCAATGGCTATTTTAAAGCTATTGTTACTGTGTATCATTCTATGAAGAGTTCTCACGGTGTCCAAGGTATCTTACTCTACACTTATTTCCAAACTTCCAGAGAGCATCCCCATACTTCTTCCTTGCCATACTCGTCTCCTCAACGATTGATTACGCGCCCACAGCGTCCTTATTACGTTCTCGGAATTGTTACGGCGAGTATCACGCGCGCTCCGTTATCTAACCAAAATACAATGACAAATATTACATACCACACTCAAACTTATATGTGACGGTTTTGGAGCTACTCTGTTACTCTTCCTTTATATAAATTATATTGTAAATTCTTCTGATCTCTTTTAACTTGTCCTTGTTTGCCGATGATACCGTAGCTACTATTAGCAGTAAAAATCTACAAACCCTCGTCTCCTCGGTAATCAATGAAATTTGCAATGTTTCTTTATGATTTAAAGTAAATATGTTTTCGCTAAATCTCCCCCCCCCCAAGAAAAGGATGTCATTTTTAGAACAAGGAAGAGAAGGGTACCCTCGAATTAACGTAAAATATTTTTGATTATATTATGGTATGTGAAGTAGATAATTTGACATTCCTAGGTGTAACAATCAATGAATGATATTGACTGGAATGTTCATATTGCTGTTATATTCAAAATCTGTAGCAAGAAGTGTGGGTGTACTATGTGAATTAAAGCTAATATGCCCAGTGACGTACTGAAATTAATATGTAATACTCTTACTCTTCCACATTTAGATTATTGCAATGATGTTTGAGGAAATACTAGCAAATCTAATATTAAACAATTGCATATACTTCAGAAAAAAATCAGTTAGAATTATAATTAAATCCAATATCTATTCGCCAAGTACTGCAACTTTCCAGTCACCCAACATTTAACAAGTGCATGAGTCAGTTCCTCTTATACACTGATGTTTATATTTTCCGTCAATTCCAAATTGCTTCCATAAAAATTGGGTAATTCTTATTCTAAAATCAAATATCCATTTATATGCAACTCGTCAAAGACATCAGTTTCATTTATCTAAAGTAAAATTGACATTGTGTCTGAACTCATTATCGTATGTTGGTAATAGAACTTTAGAATTAAAACAAAAATGAACAAATCGGATAAAGCTTTTTCGTAGTTATTTAATGAACAATTCATCGAATTGTGTGGTTATTTAGGATTAGTACATTCGACTCTCTATGTGTGTGTTTGCCTGTAAAATATTTTGTGTTTGTGTTTGTTTTGGCATTTAGTTTATACAATTTGACTCTGTATTTACTTGATATTTACTGAATATTTCTCCCACCTCCTATCTGTAAGGGCCTTCCTCACAAGCATTTGCTTTTCTACTGGTTCTTTCCATATTCTATACTGTATTTTGTATGATTGTGTGTAAGTTTTTGTATGACTATGGTTAATATAAAATCGTTAATATCTTGAACATTACGTATTTGTTGTCTCTCTCTCTCTCTTATCCCCTCTCCCTCTCTGTCTCTGCCCCACCCCTCACTCTCTATCTCTTTCTCTCTGAAATAGAATCCAGTTGTCCCTTGCCCACTGCTCCCCAGAATGGCTTAGTAAGCCCAGTAAATCACAACTCCTTGTACGATGAGATCATCTTCTCTTGCGACGATGGTCTGTTCCTTGATGGACCGGGCATGGCGGTTTGTATAGGAACAGGTCAATGGTCCCCAACTACTGTCCCAACATGTTCTGGTAAGTACAGAGGCTTGAAAGAGATTGTAGAGGTATTGTGGTCTAATGGATAAGTATCCGTACTGTGAACAACATGATTCGGGGTTCGAATCCGTGCCGCAGCACTAACGTCCCTCGGCAAGACATTAAAGGTACTATGTCCCATTTGCAGGCCAAACAAAATAATGAAAGGTAAAATTCCAACGGCATTTGAAAGATGATACTAATTTAGAACTTCCCTCGAAACAAAAGGACTTTTAAATGTATTGTTGTGGGTAAATAACGAACGTTAGTTGTCGAATCGAATTTAGCGATCGCGGTCGTTTTATTAAATAGTCTGATTTTCAGACCCTTGCTGACGGCTAACGTTTAAATTTCACAGATAGGACAAACGTGACATATTCATAATTCCTGTGACGTTCTACAGAATTTGATGTTGGCTGCAAAAGGGATATACTACCTTTAATCTACATTTGTCACACTCTACCCATGTTTATATTAGTAAATGAGTACCTCGTAGGATTTATTCCTTGAATGCGCCGAGAGGTACTGTTACCGGAGCTAATATCCAAATTCCTTTAGAAGTGCATTGATACTATGATATCACAATGTAATATGCGCCATACAAGAACTGCATACAAGAAAAAAAGGAGAAATACTTGAAATATTCGATCACGACTCTAACGATGATACTTCCCAAACTACAACTAACAATTGGTTTTACTTCTCTTTTGAAGGAAATTGTACGATTCCCGTTATAACCAATGGAGAAGCAACATCATCTGTTGACGTACTTCAAGAGGGGAGTCAGATGACAATCTCGTGTTCTGAAGGGTACACTTTGACTGGGGTAACCGATTTCAGGTGTCACAATGAAGAATGGAACCCGGATGCGGGAGAATGTTTAGGTACTGTGTTTTATTATATTTTGGGTAGTTCAATCATTGTTCACTCTTTTCAAAATATTAACATCGCTCACTTTCAAGGCGTAGTGACCGGACAGAATGATGTAGGTATCTTTATTTTCACACACCGTTTTTGTGTTTATAATTTTTAAGTTTGTTTCTATCCAAAACGTCACAGTAAGATTGATGAATAGATAAGATGAAAGCAAATTCAATATCTAAAAAGATAATCATCATAAGTATTGACCAACATTTAGAAGTTTTACTTTAAGTAATAGATCTCTTTACTTTTATTCCTTGAACCGTAAGTATAGATTCGTTACAGAATGTCCGCACACCAAGAATCTATCTTATATTGTAATTACTGTGTGATGACAGTTGACCGTGAGTTGTTAAACCTGCATACTATATATTGTGACTATTCCTTTAATTATCAAATCTATCACAGCAAATTGCCCCTCGCCAGACATTGCGAATTCGGACTTTGCAACAAACCAATCGGAAACAGACCACGGCGACTTCATCATCGTGACGGTGACCTGTGACGACGGTTTCACTTCCGGAACAGGGGATAATGTATCAGAACCTCTGACCTGCGGAAACGGTAGTTGGGACGTGGATGTATACTGTTATTGTGAGTATGGCAGTGTTGTTTGGGTGCAATATTTACCCTATTAATTAACTTAGTTTCAAACATACTTAATCTTAAAGATAAAGACCAGTTATGGTCATGTGATTGCATTGTGAAAGAAACGTTGTGGAATCGATCAGAAAAGGTTGATCATATCTAGCATATTATAAGTATTGGTGTGTACTGCAAGGTTCTGGAATCATCAAAATGATAAGAAATTTGGCCCAGTCTTCGTAAAGTTACAAGCACTGTACACATAAAGATGTATATGGGACTACGCACAAGTGCGCGACACGTGCATTTATCTCTCACAGTTCAATAGATAAACTAATCATATTGCTCCGGTCATCTCATTTTCGCTCGCTGGAACATTGCCAGCACAAACCACTGACCTCTACCTCCTGGACGGATCATCGCCATTCCCATTCACTATACGTTACGTACTAAAAGGCTGTATTGTCTGACCGTTCATGAATATTCATGTTTTTGCTTACCTCGGCAAAATGCTTGCCTCTACTAAATGGAAAAATTACGGTGGGGGTTGGATGAAATGGACATAATGAACAAATCAGAACTGATCTATGATAATTCATGCTTCTTATCCTTCGTGTGCTTGACTTATAACCTTACAATCGCGTGGTAAATTGAGTCCAAAGTTCGACTTGTTGTACATGTGTTATAAAGACAATGGCGAGCTTGCGACCTATTTTGATCAAATTACGGTGGGTGAACTTTCAAAAGTCAATGATACATGAGGGTTCCAATGAAAGAGCTAGTGATAACGTACGTCGGGGTGGATGTGCTTTTCGTTTAAATAAAAAATGAATTTTTAACGATTTTATTTTATTTAAGTCCATAGGCTAACATGTTAGGCTGCTGACTCTGACGATAGGGGGCGTTGTCAAATAAGACTAAACGGAGCTATATGTTACCAAATATATCAATTAGTAGGCGGTTTCCCGGCAAAAATTTTATCATCATGTATTAGTCAAAACATATTCTTTCACATGATTGGTAGTAAGAGCTTCCATTTCATTTTTTTGAAATTGGGGCGTTTCCAATACTGGTCTTTACCTTTAAGTGCAATGGGTTCTATGGGCTATTGTTCCTATGTATACAGTTTGCCCTACTTATACCATTGGGCCGACTTCCCATTGGTCATATGTTCCACTTGTCGTATATCTATTTAGTTCTATGTAAAATCTTTAGTATGTCTCATTGGTCGAATGTGCCACTGGTGTTTCGTGCAATAGGTCCATGTGCCTGTCATATCGATCCTACAACCCACTGGATCTATGTCCAAACGGGCTCATTCCCATTGATTGATCGTACCTCCAACTGGTCCGACGTCCAATTCGTCATAGGCCTACATCAATTTGGTGGGCTATCCTTTAACCTAATCTTAACTTAAAGCTTACCTGAAGTTTAAAACTTCGAGTAATCTTATATTATTGCTATAACTATGAACGGGAGGGGGTTTCCTCACTCAAATTTGAGTACCAAGCGAAAGGAATTAACCTCGAGGTTATGCTTCTTTTTTTTTTACTTCGAGGTTTCACAAACTTAAAGTTTATGTCTACGATGCCGCGTGAACATACCCTGTGATAGGTCATGTCTTTCAACTATTTCATATTTTGTTGACAGCGAATTGTCCATTGATATCAGCCCCTGACGATGGCTACGCCAACAGCCTCGTCGAGCCGTTCTATCATGGCCGCATCGTCGCTTTCAACTGCAGCCTCGGGTTCACATTGGTCGGGAATTCGAGTTCGACGTGCGACGACGGAAATTGGTTAAATGCCGTTCCCGAGTGCAAAGGTTTGGAGTCATCGCCTTTCCTTTATCCTAACCTTAACTTAAAGCTTACCTGCAGTTTAAAACTTCGAGTAATATTCTTTTATTGCTATTACTATGAACGGGAGGGGGTTTCCTCACTCAATTATGAGTACCTAGCAAAAGGAATTAACCTCGAGGTTGTGCTTTTTTTTTTACTTCGAGGTTTCACAAACTTAACATTTATGTCTACGATGCCGTGTGAACATACCCTCTGATCGGTCATGTCTTTGAATTATTTCATATTTTGTATACAGCGAATTGTCCATTGATCTCGGCCCCTGACGATGGCTACGCCAACAGCCTCATCGAGCCGTTCTATCATGGCCGCATCATCGCTTTCAACTGCAGCCTCGGGTTCACATTGGTCGGGAATTCGAGTTCGACGTGCGACGACGGAAATTGGTTGAATGCCGTTCCCGAGTGCAAAGGTTTGGAGTCATCGCCTTTCCTTTTTTCTAATCTTAACTTAAAGCTAACCTAAAGTTCAAAACTTCGAGTAATCTTATATTATTGCTATAACTATGAACGGGAGGGGGTTTCCTCACTCAAATTTTAGTACCGAGCGAACAGAATTAACCTTTAGGTTATGCTTTGTTTTAAACTTCGAGGATTCACAAACTTAAAGTTTATGTCTACGATGCCGTGTGAAGTGTGTTCTTTGCAGACCCTGTCAGATAGACGCGAACAATTATGCACTAATTTTTCTTCATCTCTTGTCTACAACCCACTTTGTAAACATTGGTTACCTGTTAACAATAATGTAGATTATTCACTGCGAAGAAGGACCAAGTATCGTCAATTTCATTGTAAAACGAACCGCTATAGAAATAGCTCAATTCCATACCTAATAGACCTGTTGAATGCATGAATGAATCTTAATTGTCTACCTGTTGAATGGTCCGGAGTCTCATTGTCTGCATACATTTTTATTTTTTTACATTTTACATTCCGCATTTTAATGTTTAAATTTTATGCTTTCATAATTACTTGTAACATCTTTTTAAAATGTACATTGAATAGTGATAAGGTTTTGTAGCAATCATGACATGGCAATTCAGATCAGATGGTGTTCAAGTTTTTAATTCATTTGCTTATTTCTCCCCAATGTACGAAAGTCGGGAAGGAGCTTGCTTGTTTTGTTGTTGTTTATTTTTTTGAAATACCCGACACTCCTTGACACAAGAGAAGTCCAACTTGTCCAAGGATGAGCGAGCAGACCGTTAGCTAGTGTATGGGAGTGTGAATGGGAGCAGGCGCGTACGTTAACCCCCCCCCCCCCCTTTGGAATTTTTTTAATTTTTTTAAATTTTTATTATTAAAAAAAAAAAAAAAAAAAAAAAAAAAAAAAGGTGACCTCGGAGCAAAATGTCAAATTTTCAAATTTCGAGACCTAAAAAAAAAAAAAAGTGTCCTCTTTACCCCCCCCCCCCCCCCCCCCCCCCCCGCTTATTCAGCGGCTGGCTGAGTCGTTGCGAAATTTTCGGCCCGATTTATAAATGTTAAACCCCCCCCCCCCCCCTTGAAAAAATCATGCGTACGCGCCTGAATGGGAGTGTGTATAAAAGTGTAAATGTGAGTGTTTATGAGAGTGTCCAAGGTACAGGAGTGAGAATAGGAGCGTGTATAGGAATGAGAGCGTGTATTGAAGAGCAAAGGGCCTGTTTGCTCATCCTTTGACCCACTCTTGTGTCACCTCACAAAATATATTTTAAACGTGACTTAACTTGCCTGTTATTGCCTTAGTCATATTAGTTATGAACTTTGTTATGAATTTTGTTATATACTGTATATTATACTTTGTGACAATGTCAAACCACATTTGTATGTATTATAATTTATTGCCAATGTAAATTGTTCATAATTCAGCCATCTTGCTGCGAAGTGCAATTAATAAAACCTTTTCAATCAATCAATCAAAGAACATACCCTGTGATAGGTCATGTCTTTCAACTATTTCATATTTTGTATACAGCGAATTGTCCATTGATCTCGGCCCCTGACGATGGCTACGCCAACAGCCTCATCGAGCCGTTCTATCATGGCCGCATCATCGCTTTCAACTGCAGCCTCGGGTTCACATTGGTCGGGGACTCGAGTTCGACGTGCGACGACGGAAACTGGTTGAATGCCGTTCCTGAATGCATAGGTTTGGAGTCGTCGCCTTTCTTCTAAATTATTTTTAAACATTATCGATATTGAGCTTAATCTAATATTGTCTCATGATTTATGATCTTTTGTCTATTGTAATGGTTGGACTAAAAGTCAAATGCGATTATATTTTAAAACCTTAAAAGAACAATGAGCAGAGCATGAACAATTTGAAGCTGGCAACGTATCGAAAAGTTCGAAATCTGTATTTTCCTTCATACAAACTGGTAATTATCCCAATATGCATAACAGCATATTTGCCCTTGTATTCTTCTTTCTAAAACACTTTTTGAAATCTCTTTGTAACATGTGAGGGTTTCATTTCAAGCAGAAGAAAAGGTGATTAGTTTGTCTTTTGAATTTTGCTATTCATGAGAATACATTAGAAAGTTTTATATAACTCACTTAAGGAATCCAGCCATCTCATTGGTCGAAATTGCATTCATAAACTTTAACTATTCCTGTAAAATTCCCGGTAAAATTCCAAACCCATGTAATAGTTCTAAAAAAATAGTTCTAAAATCCCGGCAAAATTCCAGTTACCATGGTTGCCGGGAAAATAGTTCAGTCTTGGTGAAATACCCATAGGTTCACATGTTAAAAACTGGTTTGAGCGATCGAGGATACCGTACGTGTGCGAAGAATTGGTCGGTAATTTCAATATCCAAACCGAAGGCAAAAGTGGCTGAAGAAGCTCTCCCAAGATTTCAACCTCTTGATGATGATCAAATGCAAGACTTGCCGACAGTAAGAGCACCAAAATGGGTACGTTAAATTCTCCATAACTAGTAGGCCTAGATTCTAGTAAGTAGGTCTAGACTCTAGTAGGCCCTAGTGCTAAAATCCTTCCCGAAGAGAGTGCACACATCCCTATGCATTGGCCATTGTGCATCGCACTCATGCTAAATTGGTCGATGTTTTAATTGCCAGAGATTCAAACTAATATTGCTCGTGATCCTGAAGGTGATACTCAATAAGTGAGGTGTCATATGAAAGCGCAGGTTTTTCTCCATATTTCCCACAGGGCCGGCCCACCCCAAAAATTGTAAAAATATCTTGCTTAGACTAGAATCTAGATCTAGTCTACTCTCAAAGATAAACTCATAAAAAAACAACCGTGCAGATAAACTAGAGAAAGGCCAAGGTGGTGTCATAAGTTGACTCTTTTTTTTCGGCATATAAAAGTATTAATGACTGCTTTAATATTCGAGAAATAGTTGTTTTTATACGCCCTCGGGAAGGTTAGAATTGGGCTATTGCCCTCGGCACGCCTCAGGGGAATAGCACAATTCTAACCTTCCCTTGAGCGTATAAAAACGCCGAGGGCAATAGCCCAATTCTAACCTTCCCGAGAACGTATAAAAACAACTATTTCTCTCAAAGCAGTCATTAATACTAAATATCTAACTGATCTATCTTCTCTTGAACTAATTTGTCCTAAATGGGATAACAGAATATATACTAGTAAATGCTTTTGGAATTCAGCGAAATCGATGTAACAGCGGTAATGGATGAAATGTTTTTCCTCTCTTTACTTCTACTTCGGGTGTTTCAGCCGATTGTCTCGTTTTTCATTTTCTTTACTGGTTAAAAAATACAAACCACTTTTACTCCTTTACTGCTGATTTTATTTTCGGGGGGGGGGGGGCGAAAATACAACCATTCGGTACGAGGGTCTGAAAATCAGACTATTTACTAATAAGTGATTGCAATTACTTAAGTCGATTTGACAACAAATCGTCGTTATTTTCCCACAAATAGACATTTTCAAGCCCTTTCGTTTTGACAGAAGTTCTATATTAGTACTATCTTTCTAATGCCATTGGAATTTAACGTTTTCATTTTTTTTGGCCTGCAAATGGGACATAGTACCTTTAAGACTGCAACACACTTTTAAGCTCTGGATGGTCCAATAGTGCAGCGTTTAGACTAATACAAATGCAAAAGTCATCTCGCTCGGTCGCTACGCTCCCTCGCAAAATATCCTTCAAAATGTACGATTAAATATTGTAGAAAATCTGTATTCAGTTGGAATCACCGTGATACCAACGGAATACAGATTTTCCCTCGCATTTCGTCGTCCCCCCCCCCCGGTCATGAAATCACTGCTACCTTAATATTTCTAACTCCTGTCAATTCTTTCCATTACCATCCACCATCCTCTTCACCTACTACGTCTTCTCCACCGACATCAACTTTAGCTGGGGTTCCTTCAGGTTCCAAAGCACCTATCGTAGGAATCACTGTTGGTGCTATTCTTGTGATTGTTATCGTTATAATTTCGATCTTCATCTTTTACAAGCGAAGCAGGTGAGAGAGATACCTTTTACTTAACTTGTCCTTCTCATCAGTCCATTCTCACAGAACTTCTCCATGAAAAATGCTTAATCCGTATGGTCATGAAAAAATACAAGCTGAATTATGATTATTAGTATTATTATTATTTTTTTTTTTTTAATCTATAAAGTTATTTAATTTCTTTCTTCTTTGTTCTTAATTGCCATTCAATGTAAATATTGGAAAGCATAACGCTTTCTAAATGTTATGGCAACCAGTTTATAAGACTTATTATGTTAAAGGTCGGGTAAAATTCATGCTTTAATTCAAGTGTATGACTTTGAATATGTGCCTTTATTGATATGCCACAATCTATTTTTCAAAGACACAAGGTGACCAGTAGAAGCCAAATTAGCGCAGTGCAGGCATCCCGCCCGCTGTCCCCCCGGCCATCCTGGTCGCAGCTAGCTGCAGAATGCAGCAGTAGCCACTACTGAGTGTTAGTGCCTACTGCTAGATCTGCTCAGTGCTACCAGGAAGCTTTGCTTCCTGGTGCTACCGCGAGTGAATGACACATTTTATTATAAAGGCCCGGTCACACAGCCCTTTACGGGCGTATCGCGGCCGAATCACGGCCAAAAATTTCTGCCCGTGAAGCAGACGCTGTTGGACGCTTTGAGGTCGCGATACAGACGCGATACAGCCGTACTTTACCCGTCGTTACACGCGGTAAGAAATTCACACGCGGTTGGCCGCGCGAAAAAGTTTTGGGCTGCCCAAAAATTTAGACCGCGGGTAATCGCGGGCGGTACACGTGGTACACACGCGGTAAAGACGCGGTACAGACGCGGAACGAACGTGCTAGGACGTGCTACGGCCGCGGTTAAGACGTGGTTACACGCGGTAGGACGCGAAATTTTAGCGGGTAATCGCGGGTGGAGCACGGTCAAAGCACGTTTGTTCCGCGTCTGTACCGCGTCTGTACCGCTAATATGCATTAGCGTGTGTACCGCGTGTAAGCACGGAGCGGTTATGATTTCTACAGCCCGGTTCGGCTGCTTTATTATACCCGTGGTAGGCCGCGGTACCGCCGCGCTTCACCCGCGATAAGGACGCGGAACAGTCGCCGGCGTCTGTTCCGCGGGCATACCACGGGTAAACCGCGGGTAAGCCAATTTTGCACATTTTTCCACCACGGGCAACCGCGGGCAAAAAAAAATCGCGAAATTTTACCCGCGATACAGACGCGAAAGGCTGTGTGACCGGGCAAGCCAACGTCGAATCTATTCCAGCTCACCAGTCATTGTTCCCGAGTCTTCTTTCAATGTAGTTTTCTTCGTTGCCAACAACATCATTGTCGTCATCGTCAGCAATTTGCTTAGCCGGAGGCTCAAATCTATACGGTTGTACCCCTATCACTGGCTGCCAACGCACATTTAGCAGTTCATCTTCAGGATCTGTCAATTCAGGGCCCCATTGCATAAAACTTACCATTGATGGTAACTTTGCCATCAACGGCAACTACCATGGTAACAGGGATCAATAGCCAATCAAAATCAAGGTTTCCATGGTAGTTACCATTGATGACAAAGTTGTCATCAATGGTAAGTTTAGTGCAACGGGGCCCAGAACTCGATTCTGACTCCGATCCAGATCCTTCGTCGAATTCACGCACACTGTTGAAATCAGATGAATCTGAGTGTGGATCCTCCATGATATAAACTTAAACAAATGTTACAAATTAAACAAAAGCAAAATTTTAAAATGCTTAAAATCACTTTTTATTCAAATTAGAGTACGTTTCAGGCAATTTTAAGCTCTTTAAATATTAAGGGAACCCGCTTGAAAGACTTATTATGTTAATGACATGCGTTTTAAAAGTACCATACCAATTCCCACATGTCATGTTGACATGTTTATATTTTCTTGGGACTTTATTTTGTTGTAATTATGTTTTTTATGGATGGAATTTATCTATGAGTTCATAATATTAACTTTCAGCGATGAATCAGCCACTACAGAGTCTAAGGGGAAGGAGTCCGATTCTTCTCCGCAATATGAGAACTCTGTATTTGATCAGTCACAGACAGACGTCCATACCTACGAAGATCTGAATACCAATGCTCAGAGGTACGAGAATTTTACCGACCCTCATACCTACCAGAACCTGAATTTTGATACCCATACCTACCAGGACCTGAATTTTGAAACCCATACCTACCAAGATCTGAATACCGATTCTCATAGCTAAGATCTTAAGAAACCCGATCAAGAAGCTAACTACGAAGAATTGAATGACGCCACAAAGAGAGATTATGTCAAGGTGCCAGGCATTAAAACAGTACTATGATAAAACATTAAATACAGTCTTAATGTGTTGATTAAGACCTGAATACACGAGGAGAAGAAAGATCCAAGTCCATCACAATGACTTAGAGTTATCAGGAAATGTATTTTTTTTAATGTGAGAGACAAAATATTTTCAGTCTTATTTTAGTACATATATAATTTGTCCATGTATCAATATTTCCGTGAAGATGAAACATGCTTTAAAACTTATCTTGAAATATTAAAGTTTATCTTAATAACTTAAAGATAAACTATGATGATAATCTGTGGCGTTTCTTGTCATGTATCCAATTATAATACCATGACGAAAAGCTGTCAAAAACTATCATGGCTTTCTTTTCTTCGTCCTGTGCTCCTCCTTCATTTTCATTTACCATTTCTACTCGCGTTACTTCTTAATATTTTGATATCGGGGATCAGTTGAAATATCTCCTTTTGGGTATATATATATATATATATACATATATGTTTATCTTCCTTCATTGAAGTTTGTTTCCTACTGTCATTTTCTGAATGATGTGAATGATGTATCAGAAAAACATGAATCTTACATCATGGAGCAACGAAACTTAATTCTATTTTCGATTTTTTTTTCTTTCCATCTGCTGAGGTATCTGATGAAAAGGAAATATAAGATATATTTTGAATGAGTCAATGCAGGTGCAAATATAATGAAAAAATATTGAGTCATGTATATACACGTATGTCATAAAATACGAAGGCATATTCCATCATAAACGATGTTCTACTGTACTTTTTGTTTGTATTGATTATTAGTGTTATTACCTGCTACTGGTGGTGGAAAGCATTATTACCACATGTTTGGACAATAAATTAATAAATAACCAATTGTTATT